CAACAGCAACAGGCCCAGAGAGGGCAGAGGACGATGGACAGTGGACAGACAGACGGGCGGGAAGGTGGGTGGTCAGATTTGTGGATGGGCGGGCGGACAGATGGGTGGACAAGTGGGCAGCTGGGTGGATGGACTTACAAATGGGAGATCGCAAACACACTCCCRGCACCAGGCATGACCGGGTGACAGCTGGCCTGAGTCCCCCTCCCCGAGTCCCCGGTGAGAGGACAGGGCCAGGTGCAAGGCGGGGGCCACATGCCCAGCCCTGGGGCCCTCAGCACCTACCTCGGTGGCCCCAGGACCCCGGGGACCCCTCCCCTGCTCACCTTTGCAGGTGTTGGGCTGCGGCAGGGGCAGCGGGATAGTGTTGGGGGGCTCCTGGGCTGGCTCCGGGTTCAGCTGGGTCTCCTGGGCGGCCCCCTGCTGCGGGGACTCTCCGTCTGTGAGGACAGCAGCGGGCTCAGTCTTCCCCGGGCCTCGGCACTCACGGGCACCAGCCGTCCTTGGCCAGGGCCACCACARAGACCCACTCAGGCAGGAGGAGGGACGGGGGGACATTATCTGGAGTGAAAATCCACAGACCACCAGGCACGGTGGCCCACGCCTGTCCTCTCAGCAGCTGGGGAGGCTGAGGCAGGAGGATGGCCAGTTGGAGGCCGGCCTCCTGAGTCCCCAAGGCGGGGGTCCCCAGCCCCTGCCGGTTCCCACGCGTGCACGACCACAGGCCCCTTCCCAGGAAGGCCCGCTGCCCCGYGGGACGGCTCTGCCCGGGCCTGGCCTACCTGGGCGGCAGGTGCGGCCRTCGTCCTGCAGCGCGAAGCCGGGGAAGCAGGCGCAGCGGTAGGAGCCCACCGTGTTGACRCACAGGTGCTGGCACAGCTCCCCGGGCAGCAGCAGGCACTCGTCCTGGTCATCACCRGGCAGGCTGTTGGCCATCTCCGCCTCTGGGCCCAGGGACAGGGCCTCCTGGCTCGCCAGATCTTCTTCTGAAACTGGGGTGCAGGCCAGCGGTCAGGACAGAGCCAGAGATGGTGAGGACGCAGGGAGGGTGGAYGGCCGGTGGCTATGGATGCCAGAGAGGAAGGGGGACTGGGGGGCTGGACCCAGGGGGAACGGATGGATGGAGAGAGAGAAATRAAAGGGAGCCGGGAACAGTGGCCCACGCCGGTTAACCCAGCAGCTCAGGAGGCCGAGGCAGGAGGATCGCAAGTTGGAGGCCAGCCTCGGCAAAAGTGAGGCCCAAGCAGCTCAGCGAGACCCTGTCTCTAAAAAGGGCTGAGGACGGGGCTCAGGGGCCAGGTGGCCCAGGTTCAATCCCCAGGACCAAAAATAAAGAAAAAGAAATGGACGGGTGGACGCAGAGGTGGAGGGGTGGGTCAGGGAGTGGGGAGAGGCGTGGGCGACCTGCTCAGGGGCTGGAATGGATTCAGCACCTCTGGACAGACAGGTGGACAGACATGCAGGTGGACAGATGGATGTGTGGATGGACGGCGGACAGATCTGTGGATGGGTGGACGGACAGATTCATGGATGGATGCGTGGATAGACAGACACACAGATTTCTGGATGGACGGACGAGCAGACCAGTGGCCACAGGCACCGGGGCCTGGCGGGCGTCACCCACCTCTGCGTGGCGCAGCCTCGGGCTCCGGGGGCCGGCGCACCTCGGGCACGAGCGGGTCCTGTCCCTCGCAGCAGGACAGCATGGCGTGGCTGCAGGGGTAGCCCAGGCCGGGGATGGCCTCGCAGGGCTGGCCCTCGGCCCGCACACGGAGCCCCAGGCCACAGCAGTCGCAGCATTGCTGGAGGGCGGGGGACGGCCGTCAGCGCCTGCTGGCCCCCGCGACTGTCACCTCCCCTGGCCTCAGAGCCCCGCGACGCAGGCAGGACGCCCAGGAAGGAGCAGGGGGCCTGGAGGAGCTGGCCAACGGGGTCCAGGGTCGAACTTGTCATCCACCCACCCCGCGCCCTCTCCCTCTCCCGGGGCAGGGCTTTCAGATCTTTTGGGGACTGACTATTCTTGCTCTCCTTTGAGCACACTTGTGATGGCTGGGGCTTTCGCAGCCATCCTGAGCCATGAAGACTGAAGCTCTAAGCTAAGAACAGAAGCCTGGTCCCTAAAGCTGTCGCGGAGCTCTGTGTCATCTCAGGCCGTTGATCCCCAAAAGAAACTTGGTGTCATGGTTTTTAAATCTGTGATGGTGGAGTGGCTGTCATCACAGCCCCAGCTGTTCAAGCATTTTCCGTCTTTGCAAGGTGCCGTTCCAGCTTCTCTTACGAAGCACGTCAGCGGGGCACAGTGGCCCACACCCGTGATCCCAGTGGCTYGGGAGGCTGAGGCAGGAGGATTGCAAGTTGGAGGCCAGCCTCAACCACTTAGCAAGACCCTGACTCAAACCTTAGGAATCGTTAAGAAGGACTGGGGTGTGGCTCAGTGGACAGCACCCCTGGGTCAGCCCCAGAGCAGGACGGAAGGCAGGCCCAGGTCGCCTGTGGGCAGCCACCCGAGGCCACCCAGCCAGGACCCGCTGACGGGGCACAGTCAGAGATGGATCCTGCCTGAGCCAAGCCTGGGACAGTCTGCCACCGCCCAAAGCTGACCTGTGCTGCAGACGCGTGACGTCCACGGACTGAAGACCCATGTGTCCCGACCCCTGCAAAGTCCCCAGTGCTGACGGCCATCGAGAGGCACGGAGCCCAGAGGCGAGGGGCAGACGGACTCCAGACCTGCCTCGCCGCAGGGCAGGCTCCGATGGAGTGACCCCAGAGTGACAAGACCCAGTCGGAGTCCTCTGCCCAGTGCCACCTGGAGCCTGAGAGACGGGGTCTTCGGCTCCTCTCTCTCGGCCCCTCTGACTCGGGACCGACACCTGGTCCTCTGCCCTCACCTCAGGGTCGGTACCAAGCCCGTCCTCCTCCTGGCTCGTGTTCAGTGGGCGGCTGACCTCTCCTTCCCAGCCTCCCCTGCAGCTAGGCATGGCCCCCAGTCCATCTAAGTAGCAGTACAGAGAACAGAGGGGATCTTCGAGGGTCCAAGGACACAAATGGCACTGTATCTCACAAGAGCCAAGAGCAAAAGGCACCACATGGTCACTGAAGGGTGGATGGACCAAGAAAATGGAATCCAGGCAGAGAGTGGAGTACTATACAGCCTTTAAAAAGGAAGGGAATTCTGACCTCCGCTCTCACGWGGATAAATGCTGAGGTTGGTGAGCCCAGCTCAGAAGGACGGCACCATGAGGCCCAGACACTGGTACAAGGTCCCAGAATAAGCCAGTTCACAGAGAGTGGGATGGGGGCCTGTGGACCGACGGCCTAAGCGGTCGCTGGTGGGACTTTCTGGGYGGGGGGCAGGTGGCGGGTCYCCCGACCCCARATGAGCCCCCGCCAAGGAGCCCTGCAGAGGGGAGCTGCCTGGCCCTGGAGGACCGTGGGACCCACGCCAGTCCACCCGTGCTGGCCGTCACTGCCCCCGCCCCCGGGCTTGCCTTGTACAGGGAGACGCCACAGGTGTCATTGTCCTCGGCCCCACAGGGCCCTCCCTCCTTGGCCACCAGGACRCCGGCCAGACAGCTCTTCTCCTTCAGGTAGGACGTGCAGCAGTATTTCTGGGCCGTCCTGCAAGAGAGGTGGCCTCAGCCTCAGGCGCGGCGGGCTCCCGTTCTCCCAGGGACCCTCTGCCGGGGGTGACAGTCCCCAGTTCACAGAAGGAAAGTAGCAGCCAGGGCACGGTGGCACGCACCCTTCATCCCAGTGCTCAGGAGGCTGAGGCAGGAGGATCGTGAGTTGGAGGTCAGCCTCAGCCACTCAGTGAGGCCCTGTCTCTAAATAAGTAGCAAAAACACAGAGGGGAGGTAGAGGGTCTCAGAGGAGGGACCTGCCCACAGCTCCGCGGCCCCGCGTCATGATCCTGACCACGGAGGACCAGGCTGGACACCAGGACACAGGGCCTGCTCTTGGCCGGGCTGGCAGTGAGCTGTGGGGCTCAGGTGGACAGAGCGACCTCTCTGAGCCCTGCCTTCTGTCTGGGAAAAGGAGTCGCTGGAAGAGACGCAGCTTCTCTGTGACAAAGAGCCCGGCTGACCGCCCCCAGGGAGGCTGAGGACAGAGAACTCCTGGGGCTGGAGGGTCCCCAGGGAGCAGTGTTCCCAGGTGGCCGTCAGCAGCAGGTGACTGGGTCATGGGCACTGACTCAGTGGGCTCCACCAGCGAAGGTGCCTTGACTTTTTTTTGGCCACCAGGATGGAACTCAGGGCCCTCGACCTGTCCCCAGCCCTCTGTGCACCATATTTAGAGACAGGGCCTCGCTGAGTGGCTGAGGCTGGCCTCCAACTCGTGATCCTCCTGCCTCAGCCTCCCGAGCCGCTGGGATGGCAGGCGTGCGCCAGGGTGCCTGGGGGGACTCATCACTCTAGTGGACTCTTGGAAGGAGGTGGACACGCGGGAGGTGTGCCCAGCTGAAGGAGTGGGCCCTGGGTACCCGGCTGTGGGCTCCGTGCCACCATGCGCCCGCCAGATGCCAACCAGGACGGGACCTTGGAGACCCGAGCCAAGGTCACCCTCCCGTCCCCTCTGCTGTTTCTTCTCTGGCACTTCTGTCACGGCGCCCCCTCAGCCCCAGGTCAGGGAGCGCCACCCGCCCGCGGCGTGGAGCAGGGGACAGGACGGCTCACCTGCAGACGTCGCCCTCGGTGCCCTCGGGGATCCCCGCGCACTCGTCCCTGAGGACGGCCCACTGCTGCCCGGCCGCACAGCACGTCTCCACCAGCTCCCGGGTGGACCCTGGGGACGACCAGGACACAGTCACCACGCACAGCGCGGGCGGCCGGCCACTGTCCAGACCTGTCCCCAGGTGGGGGACACGGTGGCCACTCGGCGTCACTGTTGTCTCTGCAGAACGGCCTGGGCTGGGTGCCCCCATGGGGCCGCCCGGGCTCAGAGCGGTAGGAGTGACACTTCCCGGGCCCAGCCCCACGAGTCGTCCCTAGAGCTGTCCCCAAAGGAACCAGCAGGCCACAGTGACCCCGGCTCTCAACCTGAGGGGCAGCAATGGAGGGGCTCAGCGTGAGCGCATGCCCGGCACCTGTGAGGCCCGGGCTCCGTCCCCAGCACAGGACGAGATGGACACAAGGTGTGTGCGTGAAGGCCTCAGGTGGGACAACTGGGTGGACCGGCTACTGCCACCTTCACCGCCTACAGAACAAAGACCTGCATAGCCCAGCGCCACGGACGGAGGGACAGGCGAAGCCACCTCTAAGATCCCCACAGCTGACAAGAAATTGCCATCGAAGAAACGTACGTGTGCAGGGACCCATGCCTGTCCTCCCCGGAGCTCGGGAGGCTGAGGTAGGAGGATCCCAAGTTGGAGGCCAGCCTCAGCAACTCAACAAGCAAGACCTAGTCTCTAAGGAAAATCTCAAAAGGGCTGGGGACGGGGCTCAGGGGTTCAGCACCCCTGGGCTCCATCCCTGGCATGAAAAGGAAAAGAATGTCACGCGTAGGCTTCGGCCATTGAGGTGCCTGTGACCCATGAGGGACCGACGCTGCGAGAAAGAGGGAAGCGCAGGTTCCCTTCCACAGAACAGCCTCCATCCAGTCCCCACGCACAGAGCTCCAGGGGCCAGGCGGTGGGGGATGAGGAATAGGAGACCGTCCCCCGCCCCCACACTGGCGCCCCCTCACTCCCAGCCGCCAGTTGGGGTCACCTTGGTGGGAGGGATGGACTCAGAGCTGCCCTGGGCTCTGCTTCCCTCCCACCCAGAGCTGCGCTGCTTGGTCCGTTTTCAGTCACTGTGACACATGACCCGAGACAAGCGGCTTACGAAGCAGAAAGGTTTACTCTGGCTCAGAGTTGGCGAGTCTGTGGTCCACGACCGGCTGGCCCTGTGGCTTTGACCTGTGGTGGCATGTCACAGTAGGAGCTGGTGAAAAGTGGGGGTGGGAGGAAAGAGAGGACCAGCCCCCAGGGACCTGAAGGCCACCACGGGGCTCCCCACCTCCCACGGGCTGGGCTGTCACTCAGTCTTCTCGGGGGACATTTGCTACCCAGAGCAGAGCAACTGCCCATGGGCCTCTCCGGGCCACAGCCCCCATCTCCACCCCCAGCTGGGGACACACCCAGGTGGGAGCCAGCTCCCGGGGCCCTCACCCTGGTCCCCATGGCCACCATCCCGAGCGGTTCCTCCTCATTCCAGATTGTCCCTCAGCCAGGCTCAGCCCTGTCTGCACAGAGGAGGCCGCACCCGGGTCCCTGCAGGCTCGGAGCCCTAGACCCCACTCTCCTGCCCCGCACTGTGCCCCCGGCCCCACGCTGACCCTGACACACAGTCCCTTCCTGAGGCTCCTTCCCAGCCTCCACTCAGCTGGGAGGGGACACTGGCAGGGAGCCAGCTTGAGTCAGGCCCCATGAGCCCCGGCCACCTCCCTACCTGGCCCCCAGCCTCCGCTCCTAACCAGGGAGGAGAAATCAGGGAGGGCAGCACTTGGAGCAGAGGTCGCAGCAGCGAGCCTATGACTGCTGTGTGTTTAAAAGATCGATCTGAATGATCTGCCAATATTTATAAAGTTGAAAGCTTTTATCTGAAACTCCCGATTCCAGCTTCCCTCAGCAAATCAAAAGTTCTGCTACTTTTCTTGTCACCAGGGATTGAACCCARGGGCACTTGACCCCTGAGCCCCGTCCTCAGCCAGACGCTGGATTTTATTTAGAGACAGGGTCTCGCTGAGTGGCTCCGGGCCCCAATTGTTGAGGCTGGCCTCCTAAGTTGTGATCCTCCTGCCTCAGCCTCCASAGCCCCTGGGGTGACAGGTGTGGGCCACCRTCCCTGCAGACGATCCACATTAGGGGCTGTGCTGGGCCTCCACACTCTAGGGCCAACCCCTGAGTTGGGCGTCTCGCTGGCCTGGGGTTTAAGGTGGTGGTCTCTGGTCCCCATGGGCCCGGTGGCCCCTGCTCATGGACCGCTCCCCCTGCTGCCCTCCAGAGGCTGGCTCCTGAGCATCCCGAGGGCACAGGAAGGGCTTTCTGGCCCCTGCCAAGTCCTGGGCACCTCACAGAGCCTGGCCCAGTGTCCCGGCCAGGGCGTGTGGCCAGTCCTGGGACTGCGAGCTGGWCAACGGGGACGTGGCCACTGGCAGGGGCCACTAGGGCCCACCAGAGGGTGGAAAGGGTCCAGGGCAAGGTGCCCAGTGGGTGGCCACCAACCATCTCCCTTCATGGGCCTTGGGGACCTTGGACCATTCCCTGCARCTCTCTGGGCCTCAGTCACCCTGACCGTACGCTGGTTGCCACCGTGCCGTCCCCCTCATCCTGTGCAGGGCGTCCTGGAGCTCAGGGGACGGAGCACAGGCACTGGCYGCACCCCACACCCCACCCGGCAGGAGGGACCCGGCTGCAGACGGGCGCAGGCCGGCGGTCCTCCTCCGGTCACCGGACGGCCGCCCACAGCCAGGGGAAGGGCTCTGGGTTGGGGCGTCTGCTGGCTCCGGGGACAGGGCGGAGACGGAGCCTGAGGACACTGGCTGCACATCTGGCCCAGCTGGAGTGACAAACAGGGGCGGGGACGGAAAGTGGGCAGYGAACACCCCACACACACCCGGCCCCAGCAGGCCTGTCCTTGGCTCTCTCACCAGAGGGGACGGTCCCCGGCCAGCTGAAGACACACGTGTTCATTCACTGGAACCAAAACACGCATCCACCGCCCCTCCCACCCTGGACCCCGGGAGCAGGGGACAGACGGGACGACGGCCCTGGGCGGCTGCTCTGTGCTGCAGAACAGCTCAGCTCCTCTTTTGGGGAACCCTGGGACCAACCCCACATCTGACAGATGCAGAAAATGAGGCTCAGAGAGGGCGAGTTGCTTGCCTGAGGTCACACAGCCAAGGGCAGAAGAGCAGGAACTCAGCTTCTGGGGCCACACCCGGGGCTCCCCCAAGCCAGGCTTCCCAGCATGGAACCACAGTCAAGGAGAGGACTGAGCAGGACAGCCACGGAGGGCAGAGCCCCACCACGCACAGTCCCGACCCGGGCCTGACGCGCCATCTTCCTCATGGTACCCGGCTCTAGGAGGGAGCCCTCTGTGAGCACCCTCTTTTGTGGTTTTGGTACCAGAGATGGAACCCAGGGGTGCTGCCCATGGAGCCACATCCCAACCCTTCTTATGTTTTATTTAGAGACAGGGCCTCGCTAAGTGGCTGAAGCTGGCCTCCAACTTGTGATCCTCCTGCCTCAGCCTCCCAAACTGGCCTGGGCTGTGAGCCCCTTTTGTGGATGAGGAAACTGAGGCCGGAGACAACTAAACAATTGGCCCAAAGGCCACACAGCTCCTGAGGGCCCCAGTCAGCCTCCAGCAAGGGCAGGGGGCAGGAAATCCCGCTCCCACCACCGACAGACCTGGCTTTGGGCTGAGTCCACCCACTGGCCCGGGCCTGGGGCCAGGCACACTTCCGCCTGGGTGGGAAGGACCGCGTAAGCCTTTTGTTGTGAGATGACATCAGGCTGGGGCAGGAGACGGGGCAGGTCCCGGGCGCGGAGGCCCTCTCCCCCTCCCTCCTCATCCCACGGCAGTTGTCGCTGCAAGGAGCCCCTGAACCTGCGCTGGAGCCTGGGGGACATCAGCCACCCCTGGCCTAGCCAACCTGTGGGTTTGGAAAGCCACCGATTTTGAAAACAGATTTAAAGACCAAAGAAGCCCATCTGGACAGAGCCCAGACCTTCAGACATCTCTCTGTGATATGACCCGTGGCTTCTGGGACACCGATCTGTCAGCAGCTCCACTGTCACAGAATCTGTCCCCAAGCCAGCCCATGGCATGGCCCACGGCACAGCCACACCGGCCAGAGAGCAGAGTTTACCGGGAATCCCTGCCGTTTCTAGACGCCTGCTGCATGCCCAGCCCAGAGAGGCCCATGGGTGGGCGTGGCCTCGCGTSTCSTAGGGGCGKGGCCTCGMGTGTMGTAGGGGCGGGGCCTCCTCTGGCCACGCCCACCACCTACCTGAGGCTGAGCCGGCAGCGAGGAGGCCCTCAGAGGGCTCACTAACGGGGGTGGCAGGGCTCTGGGAGAGGTGGCGCCCAAGGCCCCGGGTGACAGGGCACTGAGGAATGGGCCCTGGCACACGCCCTGGACTCTGCTCGCCTACCTCCCTTCCTCTGTCCACATCTGAAGACCCAGAATCTTCCTGCAGGTCCCAGCGTCTGCAAGCCTTGGGTCCCTCCACCTGCGACCRAGCAGCAGGTGCACGGAAGCCAGGAGCCCGCGCCCGCGGACCGTCAATCATCCCTAAATGACGGCTCCTAAGGGATGCGGGGAAGCAGTGCCCTGTGTGGTCGCAGCACGGGGAGAGGAGGAGCCCGCTCAGCATGGCGCCCTCGACCTGAGGTTGGGCCCTGGGGGCCCACTGTCCCCAGAGCTCCCCACCCAGGGTCTGACGCGCCGCCTCTGGCAATCGGAGCAGGCCACCAGGCCTGAGGCCACTTGCCGCACACAGGAACTTGCCCGGAGGGTTGCAGCAGCTGCTGGGATGCCGGGCCTCCCGCTGGAATGCCAATCCCTCCCCGTTGGCTTCAGGAACCTGAAGCTCCTGCAAGATATGGTTAGGTCACCAACCATGTGTCAGGGTCCCCAAATCCTGGAACCCTGGACCACCTTCGTGGACGCTCAGGTCACTGCAACCAAGACTTAAAACATCGATCGGATCATGCCCCTCCCTGCCTTAGACCTGCCCTTAGGACAAAGGCYCAAATCTTCATCCTGAGGATGTGCATGTCACCCTGGAACTAGCTCCTGATCCTCACATCAGTCACAGGGCCTCCTTTCCACCCAATCGATTCCCTCTGGCCACGGGGCCTTTGCACATGCTATTGCTCTGGCTCCTCGCTGCTGCCCCATGACCATCACACTGCAGCTCTTCCCTGATAGCACTTGGCCTTCCCGGATGCCCAGGAAGAATGGCTGCCCCAGGCAGGCTCCCAGAGCGCCCACCGCCCGGCCCAGCCCACTCCCAGCTCCRACTCCAGCCTGCGGGACTCAGGATCCCTCCCACCAAGCCTCTCGACTCCCCAGGGGCGGGTCTGTGCTGGGGTCTGTGACACTGTACAGTCCCCGCCTGCCCGAGCCCAGGCATGCTACGGACACTCGGAAACCACTGTGAGGGCAGGAGGAAATGAAGACTCGAGAAAAACCAAGCTGTCAGCCTGGGTCCCTGCAGCTGGCTTTCCTCGTCCACAAACAGGCCAGGGCTCTTGGGCACAAGGAGAGGGCTCGGCCATCAGAGCGTGCCCAGCGCCTGCCCCCAGGCCCAGAGGAAGGGGCCCCTTTCCTGCCCCACTGTCCTGGGGCTCACGGAGGCTGTGCGGGGGCCTCCTCCAGGCTGAGGCTGCTTGCAGCTGCTCCCGGAACCTCCGACCTGCAGAGGGCCACCTGGACCCCAGGATTCTCTCTGTCCTGGTTCTACAGAGTACTKCCACCAGAGGGGTCCCTGGCCCCCTCCATGGTGCCAGCCTGGCAGGAAAAGCCACCCTCCCAAAGCGTCCTGAGTGACAGCAGACGTGCTGGGCCGGGGAGCTGGGCATGTGGATTCCATTAGGCCACATCTGGACCCGCTCAGAGGCAGGCAGCCTGGGCCCTGGCACGGCTCCGACTCACAGGGAGGACCCCCGCCCCAGTCAGGGGCCGGGCGGTGGCTGGAAACCCTTCTCCAGGCCCCCYGGCTGCCATGGCAACGTAGCTGGGGGGTCACTTCCAGCCCATCCCCCACCTCCGGCGGCCAGGGAGGCGCAGGCTGAGCCACCTCCAGCCCACACCCCCAGCCTCGGTGACCAGGACTCCCGCCCCRGCCTCCCCGAACAGCAGCAGCCACAAGGCCCCGCGGGCCAGACCCCCCACCCCAGGCAGGCCACAGGCCACCCGGCCCACCCTCACCACACCGCGCACCCACAACAGCAACCCTGTGGGTGCACTTGAGGGTTCTGGTGGCCCGGGAAGCCTGTCTCACTGGCTGGCTCCGCCCTGCAGAGGGCGCACCCTAAACCTCAGACGGCAGGTMGCTGCTAGCTGGGGTGAGGCCCCCACGCATCTGATTCTCGGCAAGGCTCAGCGGCTGGTGCTAGGCGGCCCAGCTCTGCAGTGCCCCAGACACCCCGAGGCAGGACTTCCAGCAGCTAGCAGGGAAACAGAGGCACAAAGCCCRGGTCACTGGCCCACATCTGGGTGTGTCCTGGAACCAGCGCACAGAAAGCAGGACACAGGTGGCCCAGAGTGGGGAAGAGGACASGGTGGCTGATGGCCAGGCCTGAGTTTCCGGGTCCCAGTGACACCCACCCTCTCCCAGACTCCCCTTCCCTTCCCTGCACACCAAGTCAYTGCCTGTCCCACACCCACTCCTTCGAGCCTCAGGACCTTTGCATGTGCTTCCAGGGGATCTATCTCCCAAAGAGCCTCATCAAAACACACCCGAGAATCCCGGGGTAGTGACAAAAAAMCACTGGGATTCCTGAGAGCAAAGTGGGGTTCCCTGAGGCCTGGGACCCTGGGAGGCAGGCGGCTGGGGCAAGGCTGTGGCTGCCTGCCCCTCTGGATGTGTACTTCCTCCAACTCCCTGTCACCCCCTGGCTCTGCAGGCTTAGGCTGCCCCAGTCCCCGCCCACGGCCACCGCCAGCTCCCGTCATCCCAGCAGCCACACCKCCTGGGTTTGTGGAATGAATGCTCCCAGAGGCCCCCAGGGAGGCTGYGCTGTGGAGCAGGCCGGTCTCTGGCCTCCTGGGTCCAGGGACGGATGGCCTAGTCCCCTCCTTGAGCAGGGAGCCAGAACAGTGGTCCAGGTCCTACAGCCCTGTGTCTTGAAGAGAGGACACGCTCTTACCTTCAGGGATGGCCCTGGGGACGGAGTGCACGGAGTTGGGGTCCACGTCCTCCTCCTCSTGGACTCGGGGCGGCTGCGGCGGGAACTGGGGCCCAGCCTGGGTGGGGAGCGCTTGGGGCTGCTCCRGGGCCACAGTGGCCGGAAGTGGGGGCACGTTGGGCTCCTCGGGATCCCCAGGGGCGCGGGGCGGGGTGGGCTCTGGGCTGTGGCCTTCGGTGTCCGAGCCCGGGGGCGTGCTAGTCTGGGGCGCAGAGCYGCGCGGGGTGGCCTGGGCCTCGGGGATCAGGTTCTCCTCCAGCCCCAACTGGGCTGCGGCTGCCACCTCTGGGGCGCGGAGACCGGGGCTGGCCGGGGCGGCGGTGGGCAGYGCCTCCAGCTCCCCGATGGCCTCCTGGGCCTCCTGCTCTCCGTCCTCCACGTCGTCGATCACTCTCCGGGATTTGGCCTGCGCGGGCGCYGGGGGACCCAAAGCCGCGGCTGCCGTGGGCCTGGGCAGGGCGCCTGGCCAGGGGGTGGCCTGGAGGGTGGCCGGGGCCTGGTTCCCGCCACCCAGGGCCGCTGGGGGGCCTCCTGCCCCGGCCTCCGCCTCGCTGGCCTCCGCCTCAGCCACCTCCTGGTCGTAGCTGTAGGGATCGTCGTAGGGCCGCTCGRTGTCRCCRTCCTCGGGCTCCGACGCRTTGCCCTCGCAGCCTGGCAGGCGGTAGCAGATGAGCGCGCCCCCGGCGTCGGGGCAGTGGCAGGCGCGACAGGGCGCCAGGTGCACCGTGTGGCCGGCCGGGTGCTTCAGGCCGCGGTGCACGCAGCCCAGGCGGCCACACTGCGGGCAGCTGTCGGCGGCCACCACGGCCTCGATGCAGTTGGGGGGCAGCTCAGGGCACAGCATGAAGCGGCAGCTGATCTTGCCGCCGCCGGGCGGGCACGAGCACTCGGTGCTGCCGAAGTCCACGAGGTAGGAGCGGCCAGCGGGCACGCGGCCATCGGGGAAGCCACCGCGCACGCAATCGTAGTACTGGTAGCCCTCGCAGGGACAGCCCCGCTGCACGCACGTCGCGCAGCACTCGCCCGGCGCCAGCGCCTCCTCGATGCAGTGCTCCAGCGGCGGGCACTGCGCGCCCGTGCAGTCCGGCCAGGGCGCGGCCGCCCCCGGGCTGAGGGCCAGGGCCAGGGTCAAGGTCCAGGTCAGGGCCAGGGCCGGCCAGCTTCCTGCGGGCTCCCGGGGCAGCGCCATAACCTGCAGGAGGGAGGAAGCCGTGAGCGCCGAAGGGACGCACGTGCAGACGTCCCCATCACCACGTTACCCAGGGGTCACCACAGCCCTATACCTGCCCGCTCAGGRTCACAGGACCCCGTGGGTTAGAACCCTGACGCAAGCCCAGTCTCTCTTTCTCTCATACACACTCTGTCACACTCAGCCAACAAAGTACAGGGACAGCGACAGACACCGTGAGTATCTACTGTCTATGCGCGCGCAAGGGCCACGCCTGCGCACGTGCGGCGCACGGGGGCCACAGAGGGCCACCCAAACAACWTTTTTTTTTTTGGTACCAGGGATTAAACCCAGGGATGCCCAACCCCTGAGCCACGTCCCAKCTCATTTTTATTTAGAGACAGGGTCTCACTGCGCTGCTGAGGCTGGCCTCTAGCTCGCCATCCTCCTACCTCTGCCTCACGAGCTGCTGGGATGACAGGCGTTTTCSGCTGCACCCAGCCCCAAATGATTTTTCTCCCCCCAAAATGTGGCTTGACTCAGTTCCTTGGCGGGTAGCCAGACAGCATGGCCAAGAGCAGATACTGGGCAGGAAGAAGCCCCCTCCCCGGGGTTTAGCACACCCATTGACGCATCATCTGAAGCTCCAGTATCAGGCCCAGGCCCAGGCCCAGGCCAGGGAAACCTTGSGAAGGTGACCTCGGCCCCAAGGATGCCACCAGCCAACGCATCCTGGGGACCTCCCTGCTCCTGGAGGCCCAGCAGCATTGACACAGGTGCTGCTGCTTCCTCCCAGAACAGCCCTCTGCCGCAGACTCCGCCCCAGCCACAGACTCCACCCCAGCCGCAGACCCCGCCCTCTGCCACAGACTCCACCCTCTGCCAGACTCCGCCCTCTGCCACAGACCCCGCCCTCTGCCGCAGACTCCACCCTCTGCCAGACTCCGCCCTCTGCC